AGATTTGAACCGCCGAACTGCAGCTTAGCAGTCAGCTGAAGTGGCTGCAGTACAGCACACTAACCACTGCGCCACCTCGGCTCTGAGGAGGAGCAATAGGACATAAGCCCTAGGCTTATAAGCAATAGGACATCAACTCTACACCTTTCTGATGATGACAAAGAAGCTGATTTTTTGAAAGTGAAAGGAGAACATGTTCTCAATTGCTATCATCATATAGGAGATATTAAATAACACTGACATCTTTGGCAATGGAATCTGAAATTAAAATGGCAGGATCAGGTACTCACCCACCATCTCGGTCTTCTGTTTTGTATTATCATAATCTGCTCCAGATACCTCAACTTCTACAAATGGGCAAACGATTCCCCTTCCATTTTTGGGAAGATGCCGTGCCCCCAGAATCTGAACAAGACACACAGAAGGGAGAAAACCCATACTGTTAGATAAATTTCTGATTTATCGAATTGTTACAGAGCCAAATGGTTACAGAGTCTTCAGTCAACGGATGCAGTAATCTGCTTCCGAAGGCTCTTCTCTTGAGCAAACTTTAACACCAATAACATTTCTGTCTTCAATTAGAATCTGTGCAGGGCTTAAGTTAGTGATGTTCAAAAATGTTGAAACAATACAATTTAAAAATTTTAAGAACAAATTGTAAAAGTCCTATGGCCATAGTGATCCTATGGAAACCCAACCAGTGTGGTTAGTTAATGGCTCAAACTGTCATAGGAATCCAGAAAATACATTAACTAGTATCATGTTTAGCGTTCTAAGTAAACAAAATTACTTAAGACTGCCAGATTGAAATAATTGGAACACATTAGCTCTTAGGTTCCAGAATAGAAATGATACTTAATACAATTAAATATTACCTCTTACAATTAGCTCTCATTCCTTACTGTTACAAGTCACACTGGCTAGGATTCGTAAGTCCTTTATCTATATTAATATTTGCTGCCATTTTTCTCTTAATAATCCTAGATTAATAATCCTAGAATGGCTGGGGTAGGCATTCTGTTTGGCCTTTATTTTCCATCATCTTCAGCCAACATGACCAATTACAAGCGGCAAGAGCCATAAATTGTTGTCCATTGCAATAAATAGGGCAATTCCCAATCAAAACAGCAACAAAACATAGCCTGAGGAGTGTGTAGTGTTTGCATCTTCTACATTCTAAGNAGCCATCTGGATTAATGTTTATTTGGATTCTTTGCAATGATAACTTTATAAAAGTAATTTCCCTCCCTTATTGTGACCTCGTTGCAAATCTTTGGGGAGAAAATATAAGGCAACAATCATGGAATAAGTTAGCTCTACAATATACAATAAGGTATCTTGGGCCAAGCAGAGTTAGCCAACACAAGCCCAGTACCATATAATGTCGAAATAACTAACTTTGAAAACAAATACCAGAAACTTACTTTATTTTATTGTGTGGGGTGCGATGGCTCAGTGATTAAAGATGCCGAGCTTGTCAGCTGGAAAACTGAACAGCCGGAGTTTGAGACCCAAGCATCATATAATGGGGTGAGCTCCCATTACCTGCCCACCTGGCAGTTTGAAAACATGCAAATGTAGATCAATAGGTCCACTTTGGTGGAAAGGTAACAGCAGTCCATGAGCCTCGGGATATCGGTATAATCATGTTGGCCATATGGAAATATCTTTGGACAACATTGGCTCCCTTGGCTAACAAATAGAGTTGAACGTTGACCATAGAGTTGGACAAGACTGGACAGTGAAACCTTTACCTTTATTTACTTTATTAGAATTGGTCTACTATGCAGAGCATCCAAATATGTAAATTTAATTTTACACACTTACCTTCTATCGCGATTGTCAAAATGGTCTGATAGCTGCTCCTGTGACGTCCTGAAATCTTCAAATGGTTGCTGATATCGTGCTTCCAAGGAACCTTCTCTGGCTCTGCCTGCCAAGAGCTGATTTGGGGAATCAGCAGACCTCTCTCGGAAAGGCGATGCTGCAAAGGGGTTAGTTTCACCATTTTCCTGTTCCAGGATAGAAAGAATAACAACTAAAAACCTTTGATCTCATTTCTACAGAGAGGAAGAAAATTCAATTCAGCCAGGAATTCACTGGATCTTCCTCAGATCTCGCCATCCAACATCATAGAAATACTTAAGGAATTTGTTATTACGTACATGTATGCATACACACATGTATCATCAGCAAATAAATTTGTGAAATTTTGTGTAAAATTTTGTGGACAAAACAAATTTAAATATGAATATATTTAAAAAATGACATCACTTAGTTAAGGTTTTTTTTTTTTAAATCCTCACTCTTATTTTTTTTTATCCTACTAAAATGAAAACTAAACCAGTTCTTCACAATCATTTCATTAAAATATCAGTCAACAAGCTAGCTTAACTCCTTACTTAGGTTTTAAAGCCAATTTCATTTTGCTGGCCAAGTTAGCAGGAAGTTTGGAGAACTTTTTTTTTAATGAGACTCAAAGCAATGGGTAAATTACAAAACCACTGAATAACACCCATTTCTCCCTTTCTCAGGGAATGTAGTAGCTACAATTCTTTCTTTTTTAAAAAAAAAATAGAAGTGTTTGTTACCATACATAAGCAAATTTATTTGGCTTGCATGTTTACTCTTACAAAAAAGAAGACATTTCACTATACATTTCACTGCAAGTAAATTAGCTTGAAGATCCTAGGGGCAAAAGAACTAAAAGTTATTAAATTCCTATCTTAGCAAACCATGGTCTAAATCAGAATATAGATAATACTGTATTATAATTACTACAAGATCCGTGATGGTGCAGTGGTTAGAATGTAGTACTGCAGGCTAATTCTGCTGACTATCTGCAGTTTGATCCTCACCATGCTCAAGTTTGACTCAGCCTTCCATCCTTCCAAGGTCACTAAAATGAGGACCCAAATTGTTGGGGGAAATATGAGGACTTTGTAAACCATTTAGAGAAGGCTATAAAACACTGTGAAGTGGTATATAAGGCTAAATGCTATTGCTATTCTTATCCTTTTGGTCCAAGTGGGCTGAACTCTAAAGAGCAGGCAAAGAAAAGATTGATTGAGTTTACTTTAAATACATTTAATGAAACGCATTTAATGTATATTTCCTAACTTCCTGCTTTTATCATAATTAGAGTTAAGCAGCAATTCTGAAGACCATGTGTGTCCCTGGGACATCACCTTGTGTAGCCTTGATAAAGAGGATCTGGGGCAGAAAACACAGTGTCTAAAGTATGTCAGAAACTACAAAAATGCAAAGTTCCCAAAGAGACATGATATTGTAAGGCTACTGTTGGTACCCCTCCCAAATCTTAGCCATTCTTAGTTAAAAGCAGATTGATTAACTAGTTTATTCTTAAAGCTAGAATAACCTTTGTCGTCCTGTTCTAGTTACTACAAAATAGTGGCATTCAAGCTTCATTTGTAAAATAACAACTTACCATGAGAGGAATTTTATCTATCTTAACAAGCAAGGAGGCCAATTCCAGATCCTCACTATAGTTGTTCTTCAAAGGTACAGCCCGGTATCCTCAAAGGTAACAAAATGAATTATGAGTAGGGAGCAAGTCAGCAGTGTTGAGCATTTATAATTTTTAAAAATATAACATTTAAATAAGGTATTTATGCCTTTATCATGCCCTTTTTTTAAAAAAAAAATCTAATGCTACATTGAGATTTCTTTTGCCGCTTATTGTGCTGGTCATCTACATCAGTGGTCTCCAACCTTGGCAACTTTAAGACCTGTGGACTCAAACTCCTAGAGTTCCTCAGCCAGCAAAGCTGGCTGAGGAACTCTAGGAGTTGGAGTCCACAAGTCTTAAAAGTTGCCAAAGTTGGAGACTACTGATCTACATAATGACAGCTGTATGTTTTAGGACCAGTCATGAATTTATTTTTTCAGCACTGACAAAACTGACCACGAGCTGAACAAGGCAATCATTAACCAAGGACTACCTCTTTCTGTATCAACACAACTATCCTTGACAGAAGACCTTTCTTCTCATTTACCTGTCTTTAGGCCTTTAACCAAGAAAGTGGCCTGAGCTAAGAAGTTCTGGTCACTGAACATATCCTCTTCATATACCACGAAACGCAGAAAAGCAAAGTCAGGATTACTGACATGGAACTGAAAAGTCTTTGGGGTCCAAGCAGGATTCAGTCCGTTGTCCACTAGAGTAAACAAAAGATACCATCAGATATATGTGGAATTTATTTTATTTATTTATTTAGTTTTTATTGCCGTCTATTCACCAATGGCGACTCAAGGCCGCTTACAGAACAAGTCTTTGTATTTATTTGCATACAAAGAAATATAATGCTTTAAACAGCAGTGAATTTAAATTACAACCAAGATGTTTTTTGATTACTTATCTTCTCTGCAAAGCACAAAATTGTGTTTTGGAATTTAACATCTAAAGCACCATTTCTGAACCTGACAAGTACACATTCTCCCTTATACCTAGCCTGCAATACTGCATTCTAACCAGTGTACCAAGAGCAGTGATTAGAATGCAGTGCCGAAAGCTACTTGAGCCAAGGTGGTGCAGTGGTTAAATGCAGCACTGCAGGCTGACTGCTAGATCAGCAGTTCAGCGGTTCAAATCTCACCGGCTCAGGGTTGACTCAGCCTTCCATCCTTCCGAGGTGGGTAAAATGAGG